GCAACAAAACTTATGACTGCATTTTTCTAGTCTTTTGTGTGTCTCTCTTCTTATCTCCTCACCCACTGTCCTGGTTTAGGGCAAATTTGGGAGAAAACCTCCAAAGGGGCTCCTCTAGAATGTAAATTCAAGTGGCCCCTCCCCCAACTGGTTCAGGAAAATATTTCCTTGGAGAAAAGTGGTAAAAAAAAAAAGTTTATTTAACAGGCAAAGAATTTATCACCACAAAAAAAGAGAATAATATTAAACAATAAAACCTCTAGCTGCTCTAAAGAGATGACCAATTCAGAAAGTCCTTCTTGTGGGTTGCAGCTCAGTTCACTCAGTCTGTTATCAGTCCCTCCAGCGCTGGACAATGTCGTGGCCCAGTCCAGGCCTCAGTGGGCCACAGGTACGAGTTCCTGGTGCTCTTCTGGGTTTTCAGTCCAGAGCAGTTTCAAACAGTTCCAAGAAAAAGAAAAAAATACAGTCCAGGGAACTTATCTGCTTCAGCTATCTAAAAACTAACTAAAAGCAAAGGAGAGCTTTCTCCTGCCATCTGTCCATTCTGCAGACAACACAGTCCAGGAAAAGGATGCAGGGGAGCAAGTGCAATTTCTGATAACAAACTGTGTGCTTCTTCTCTCCCCCTCTTCACTCTCCGAACCAGTCTTAAAGGTGCAAAACTTATTTCTGGGCTAAACAGACAAATGGGGATACAATTCAGCATCATAAAGTCACCCCAGGACACCCACTAGGGCTACTTTCCTGCTTGCAGAAGCAGTTAAAGTTAAGTGCAGCAGCTAACTTCTTATTACCTTAGCCCACCAGTGCTAAGCCCTTGCATACAAAAGTGGTTAAAGTCAGATGCAGCAGTCACACATAATTTTTTGTCAATTCATACTTATGTTAATGTGCTTATGTCAAGTAAGGCCTGTGTTACACCTTGCATGTTGTAGGTTAGGAGTCTTCCTTTTTTTCTCCTTTCTCTCATGGAATTTTGTCCCATCTGTTGTCTAAGAGATGATAATGACCTGTACTTGAGAGAAAAAAAGATGTGGCTGGGAGGAGGAAGAGGGGGAAAGGTGCAGATGGCTACTTTCTTAGCTGGGATTTATGAGCAGCTGTTGAGCTGGGACCTTATTAACACCTGACCTCATTGGAAAAGGACCCTCACCATCTACTCAGGTGCCCCAGGGGAAAACCCAGGACTCTGAGCCCTGAGCCCCTCTGAGGGAGCCTCTCCTGGCTGTTTGCAGGATTCCGGCTGCTGCTGCCCAGCCCCACTGTTTTCTGCTGCTGCTTCAGGTTTTTCACTACACTTTAACCCAATACCCCATGTCTGCCTGACCCCTCGCAGTTCCTGCTATGTCTGCAGAGTTTCTGCTACATTTTCTTTGCCATCCTGGGGTCTGCTTGGCTCTGCTGTTCTGTCCACTGCTCCGAGGTTCCTGCTACAGTCTATTCTGCCATCCGGGATCAGTGCCCCTGTGGATTTGTAAGGGAAGCCCCTTTTCTATCTCTCTCACCGGCTTGCCCATCATTAACCGTGTGGAGAGGAGTGGCTGAGCTTGTGCCACAGCACCCCCTGCAGCTGCAGGGGAATCATTGCACCTGCCCTGTCTGGCTGGGAGCCAACAGCACCCCTACCGACTGTGACCATAACTACACAAAAGGGGAAAGTGCTTGACAGCTGAGAGAAGGCTGCTATTGGGTTTCTGGTTTTGTTTGTTGTTACTGCTGTCATTGTTTGTTTGCCTTGTTATACATATATTATATACTAGTAGAGAACTGTTATTCCTTTTCCCATATCTTTGCCTAAAAGCCCCGTAATTTTGAAGTTATAATAATTTGGAGGGAAGGGGGGTCACATTTTTCATTCCAAGGGAGGTTCACACCTTCATTGCCAGACACCTGTCCTTCAAACCAGGACAGCATATAAGCAACATGGGGGAAAAAATTACCTTCAGAGCCCATGCAGTGATGTCCTGCCACAGTCTATCAGCCCAGATGGGTTTACTCCTGTGTTGCCAGTTTGTCTTCTTCCTTTGCAGCAACCACCCCCATAGGGCATTAGCCATCATCCAGGAGAATGAGTATAGAGTACAGGCTACTTTTCTTCTTCAGCAATCCCTAGGGCAGGTTGAATTGCTTTCACTTCTGCAAATTGAGTTGACTCGCTTTCTCCTTCAGTGGCCTCAACGACTTCTTGCGTGGGACTCCACACAGCAGCTTTTTCTCTACCACAAGGCAGGATCCATCAGTAAAGAGTGCATAGCCTCTTTCATCTTCTGTTAACTCATTGTATGGTGCTGCTTCTTGAGCATGAGTCACCTTCCCAGGCAATTCTCCAAAATCTCTGTCTTCTGTCCAGGATTCCTAGGCCTGTTATCCCAGCATCGAAGCAGCCAGGCAGAAAAACACTCACCTGGCTGGAGGCTGTAATCTTTTTGCAAGTCTTGAAGTTCTGATGAGGTCAGGGACCGAGTAACTTTGGTTTACTGTTTGATTTGCCTCACTCCTTTTAATTTCTTTATTGAAGGACATGCTTCTTGATTGAACGCCTCCTCTCCTACTTTTACTTCTCTTGCTTCTTCTTATTCTTCCTTTACTAATTGATGGTATGGGCCTGTAACTTGCCTTGTCCATTTTTTTCATTTTCACTACTGGGGCAATTACTGTAGTTGCTGTGGTTTGAGTCCCTGTCTCAGCTCTAGTTGTCCCCAAATGCAGTTTGGGTTCCAACCTCAATTACAGTCCTCTGAAAGTACTGAACAGAGGCTCAGTAGACACAGGCCAGGCCCCAGTATAGGGTGAGAAGCTGCTGGTTTTCACTGGGGCAGGCAAGGCATCCTTCTATCATGTGACCCGTCAGTTTGCCAGGGTTGATTACCTATTCGGGTGTAAAGTCTCAGGAAATGGGAGGGGATAACCACCCTAAAAACCTGCCCAAATCCCTCCACACACCCCGCAACCAGGGAACAGGATGCCTCAGGGAACATTTCAGTATCTCCTCATCTAAAGTCAGTTTTGTCTCACGCCAGGATAACACCAGATTCCACAAACTCCAGTGTACCACCAGTATTTTCCTGGTTTAGGGCAAATTTGTCCTGGTTTAGGGCAAATTTAGGAGAAAACCTCAAGGAGGAGCCCCCCAGATAGCAAACCTCCACGGCCCCTCCCCCCACCTGGTTTGGGAAGAATTTCCTCAGAGAGAAGTGGAAAAGAATCTGTTTATTTAACAAGTGAAGCACTCACCAGCACAAAAAAAATGAACAACACCAGATGACAAAAACTCTTTCACCGCACTGAAGAGATGACCAATTCAGAAAGTATCTCCTGGGAGTGGTTGCCCAGTTCTCGGTCTCCGGCGCTGGGGACTGCTGCTGCAGGTCACAAAAGGCAGGCTATTGGCGTTTCTCGATGTTTCCCAGGTCCCAGTCCGGAGCAGGTTCGAGTGGTATTCAGGAAAGGGAAAGAAAAACAGTCCAGGGAAAAAAATTGGACTGCCTAGCTAAACTAACTAATAAGAAAAAAGCAAGGGCAGAACTAAAAAAGCAGGAGTGAGAGCAAAGCGAAGCAAGAAAGCAAACAAGCAAGCGAACCCTGTCCTTTCTCCTAGGCACAGACTGGGGGGGGGGGGGGGGGTGAGCCAGCTGATAACAAGACAAAACAAACCTTTACTTTTCGGAGCCAGTCCTGAAAGCATAGAACATAACATCAAGCATAAACAGAACACATGATTGGATACAAGCACCATAACGTCACCCTAGGACATAATATTATTAACAGTATTTAACAGCTTACATAGGGATGAACAATGGCCATGGGAGCCTGCAATATAAAATGATTCACATCAATCTCAAGCAGAAAGAGGGAGGTGTATTCCATCATCGTCTACAGAAGATAGTTACCCCAGCATAAGAAGGCCATCAGTGTAAGGACAAAGCAAAGAGCTATTAACATGTTTCCAAACGCAACAAAATAGAGATAAGCAGTGCAACTGACAAACTCCATGTTCTGCACAGGAGCTTGCTACTTGATAACCACTATTTACTAATATATATATATATATATGTGTGTGTGTGTGTGTGTGTGTGTGTGTGTGTGTGTGTGTGCTTTTTTCTTGCCACACACATTGGGCACCAACAAGGACTATAATGGGCTGAACTCAGCTGGAAGCCAGATGCTCAACAAGCTGCTCTATCACTCCCCAGAAGGACAGGGGAGAGAAAACAAGATGGAAAACAGCTGAGAGGTTTGTTGTTGCAGGCACATTCTTCTTTCTTTCAGGCTTTTTCATAGAGGACCACAAAGGAAAAAAAGAGAAAACAGTTTCTATTTCTGCTCCTTGTTTTCCTATGTGGAATGAGCTTGGAGAATTGTTCACCTGGGATGATTGCTTGACTGGATTCTGGTGAGGATTGTTTGAGCCTGATGGCAAATCCGATCCAGCTGTGGCTGAACTCTCGACAGAGGGTCACGAGTTGTGAGATAGTTAGATATGGTAGTTAGAAAAAGTAGGTTTGTAGTTTTAGTATCTCCTTTAAATAGTATATTAATGTATTATAGTATAGATATAATAAAGAAATCATTCAGCCTTCTGAACTAGAGTTGTTAGCGTTCAGAAACACACATAATCACAGGATATGATTATATGCAGGTGCTTTTATTAAGAGCTCTGGGAGTCGGGGTACAAACCCAAATCTGACTCCAACATGGATTTCGAGCTGAACGTATTTTATATTCTATCATTATATAACTTACACTTTAATTATTAAACTTATATTGTTCTATTGTATACACTGACATGAGTTTTTCGTGATCTTTCTTAGGTCCATGACCACCGTTTCTCATGAGTATTCTTTCTGATTAAACAGTAATTATATTCAATTACTAAACAATCGTCACATCTAACAGTTATATCATTTATCATGTACTAGCTACATAGTGCAGTTCTAGCAAGTTGTAGTTCTTCATGTGCTTAAGGTATTTATTTTTCCAGGGCCTACTAAGCTTATTTTCCTGTTAACCCTAAATCCCCATGATTTTAAAACCCTTTTACTATCATTTTCCCCCCTTTGAAAGTATTTTCACTTCATCATAAGTGCAAATACTTTCACTTGATACAGTCTTTAGTCTCTAAGTTTATACATGATGTTCTTCAAATCCAGGATTGACGTGAACGTTGTCATGGACTGGAGGATCAGAGGATGATGGGTGTGGATCCCATGTCAGTGCCTTGATTATTTTCCAGTTCCAGGATGTCCTCTTCCGTATTTCTCCTTTTAGGACACCGTAGACTAACCAAATTACTAAAAACACAATTAATAGGATTATTACACTCTCAATGATAGACTTAATCCATGAACTCACATTCCACCCTAACCCTTTGAAGACTTTGTCTAACCAGCTCATAGTCAAATCTTTCTACTCTTCTTGTACTTCATGCTCTATTTGTTCTAACTGATTGATGTCATATTCTACATCTGCAGTTACATTTGGGATGTGGATGCAGCAATGATCAATCTGTCCCTTTAAAAATCCACACACTCCATGCTCTTTCAGAAGTAACAAATCTAAGGCCAATCAATTTTGTAAGGTCATTTTTGTGGTGGCTTGTAATTGTACATTTAGTTCTTTAAATCGGTCCCTAGTGACCCTAGCCAGTCTATCTACCTGACCTGTAAGTTTGTACAATATTTCTTTATTCTGATAGTTTGCTATGGGACCAAGCGAAGACTCTAAGGCCCACCCAAATTTCACTCCACTAGAGGGTTCTTGCCAGGTTTCATCTTTATTTTCATTATCTGGAACTTCTCATCTTGCTCTTATCTGCAGAAGTTCGTGTTTTCCCTTAAATGGGGACTTTTTCCAAATTGGACACAAAGTAGGGAGGCCTAAAGTAATTTCTTTTACTTTCCCATCTACAGGTAGATGGGTTGTCCAGGTACCATCACTTGTTGCCCATACAAATTGTCCTGGACCTTGGAGTGTACTCTTGGTACATCCTATAAGTATTTTATAATTCACTTTACCCTGTTTGTGTTTAATACCTCTGCAGGCACAACCAATTTGTAAGGCTACTGCCAGTGGTAGAATTTGTTTTATTTCTATGTCATCAGAAGTGCAATTATAAGGTTTATTACATGCCCACCAAATTACTTTGTCTGCCTTTGTTCTACTACTAATGTCAGTGTTCGCTACTGCTGGATCTGTTTCATTTTCTGAACCTTCCCATGTAATGCACCAAGGAATGGTAGCCATTTACTGGAATTTTTGAAGTATACTCAGAGACCATCCACTGCCCCAAGGCTCTATTTGACCTTTGTGATCTTTTGCCTCGCACTTCCACACCAGAGTGGTTTCTGTAACATTTTCTGTAACCTTTTTATAATGTGGTAAGTAGCATTGCCATTGATTTGGGATGCCCCCTGCCCATTCTATTGGATATCCTCTTGTGCCATTATTTTGAAGACAGTCTAGTTGACTCAAAGGATGCAACCATTGTCCTATTACTTTCCAGGTTACCTTGATTACCTGTCTTGATTCTGGTACCTGTTTCCATGTAATTGTTTTGTTCTTTTGTATTTCAGGCAGTTTTGTCATTATGATTCCCCAATTTATTGGGTCTCCCGCTGCCTTAGGTATTGGCAGACAGGCAGTTATTCTGCTAGTGTTCTGCATTTTAGCAAAATCTTTAACTAATCCAATCATTACATTCTCAGCCCGAATTGCATTGGAAACCTTTATCACCTGTGTTTCTGCCTGCACCTCCCTCTTCATTCCAGAATGAAGAGTGGTTGATTGATCTTTTTGCATTCCACATCCCAAGGACCATGAAATGAGCATTGGTACAATTACTGATAACATTCCTGAAACAATTAAACACATCTTATCTGCAGCTTTGTTGGTCCCACAGTTTACACAGTCCACAGTCCGGGATGGACTTTCTTCACTCGAGTGTAGTGTATCCAGGAGTCCACTCCAGCAACCTTGACTGCTGTAAAGGTGGTCAGTAGTACCTGATGGGGTCCAGTCCACTTTTCTTTCAGTGGTTCTTCATTCCAATTCTTAATGTAAACCTCGTCTCCTGGATGTATGTCATGAACTGGATTCTCAAGAGTCAGCGGCCTATTCCACACGAGGGTGCTCCGAAGTCGTGCTAAAGTTTTCCCAAGAGACAGAACATAGTTATACACTTCCTGTTTTCCCGTGACGTGTACATTTTGATTGGGTCCAGGAGATTCATATGGTTTCCCATACAATATCTCATAAGGATTGACTGACATCCCACTCCTAGGCCTTATCCGGATTCTCAGTAATGCTATTGGTAAAGCCTTTGGCCACTGCAGTTTGGCTTCTTGACATATTTTACTGATCTGCCTTTTTAGTTTCTGATTCATCATCTCCACCTGTCCACTTGACTGGGGTCTCCATGGTGTGTGGAGGTACCAAGTTATTCCCAGCAACCTACTTACTTCTTTTACCACCGTGATTATGAAATGGGGTCCCCTGTCTGATGGTATCCCTAGAGGCACCCCGAATCTGGGAATGATTTCTTGTAGTAACCACTTAACTGTTTCTTTTGCTTGGTTCGTGCGACAGGGAAGGGCTTCTGGCCATCCAGAAAATGTATCAACCCCTACTAACAAATATTTGTATCCTCAAGTTCTTGGTAATTCTACGAAATCTACCTGCCAATAATCTCCTGGTTCTATCTCTACCCGAACCCTTCCTAGTTGTGCCTGTCATCTAGCCACTGGGTTATTTTTCAAGCAAATCTCACACTTTGACATTATTGATTTTGCCATTGTTAACATTCGTACTGAGACCAAATAACGTTTTAGAAATTTTACCAATGCCTCTGCACCCCAATGACATTTGTTATGTTTAATTTGTAGAACCTCTCTCATTACCAAGGGGGGTACCACAATCTGTCCGTGTAAAATTACATACCACCCTTCTGGATTCTTCTGTGCATTCAGTAAATGTCCCAATTTCTCATCTTCTGCTGAATATTTTGGCTGTGGAGGTAAATTGAATTGAGATACATTAAGTTTTAAAGGGACCAATGCCATTGTTGTTTGCACCTTTCGAGCAGCCTGCCGAGCTGTCCAATCTGCCTTTAAATTTCCCTCACAAATTTTGGAGTTTCCTGATTGATGTGCTTTACAGTGCATAATTGCCACTTGTTCAGGTTTTTGTACTGCTTCTATCAGCTCCAGAACTGCATCTTGATGTTTAATGTGCATCCCTTGAGATGAAAACAGGCCCCGTTCTTTCCATAGGGCCCCATGCACATGCACTACTCCAAATGCATATTTTGAATCAGTCCATATGTTCACCTTTTTCCCTTCACTTAATTCTAGTGCTCTGGTTAAAGCAACCAGTTCTGCCTTCTGGGCGGATGTATTTGGTGACAATGCTTTTGCCTCTACCACTGTACTGATTGTTGTTACCTGTTCTGGTTTGAAAGCAAAACCAGTGAGAGGCTCCAAGTCAGAAATACAATTTATTGGGAAAAGGGGAAAAGGACAAAAATACATGCAATAATACAAAGGGAAAGACTACTGACAAAGTCAGAATACAACCTGGCCAGCGTGCTGGTAGCAGTCCAAATTGGAGTAGCTGCAGTCCTCTTGGGATGGCAGATGTAGTTGCTGTGTCTTCTCAGAGAACCTGTGAAAAGGCTGCCCCTCTGTCTAGAAATCCCCAGTTTCATCCAGGTTGGAATGCCTTGCTCCTCCCCCCTAGGCAGAGCATCTCACAATGGGTCATTATGAGTCACGAGGTGTGTCCTTAATCACCTGCTCCTGGACAGTGTTATCTCTGAGTCATGTGGCAAGGCATTGATGGGGCTATTAACAGCAGATAAGGAAAAATGCCTCAAGGCAACTCCTACTCAGATGGTAAATAGGAAAACGTTTGGTTTTTTTTAATCTTGGACATTATCCACCCCTTTTCCTATTTCCATCTTCATCATGATGAAACCTTACACATAGTTTTCACTTAAGACTAAGTTTCCCTGTGGTACACAACGGGTTTGCCCATCCTTCTGCATTACCCACCAAGTATAACCGGGTCCCTGAGCAAAAACAATCCCACTGATGGGTTTGTCTTTGCCTGGGGTGGGATTAATCCAAACAGTCTTTCCTAAAATACCTTTCATATGTACCACAGGGACTTTATCTCCATCCACTGTGTGCAAGGGTTCAGATTGGGCAGGACCAGCTCGATTGATGGACCCTCGGGTGTTGACTATCCAGGTAGCTTTTGCCAAGTTCAGTTCCCAATTCCTGAAAGTTCCCCCACCGAGTGCCTTTAGGGTGGTCTTAAGCAGTCCATTGCATCGTTCAACTTTCCCAGCAGCTGGAGCATGATAGGGGATATGATATATCCACTCAATCCCATGTTCTCTGGCCCAGGTGTTGATGAGGCCATTCTTGAAATGTGTTCCATTGTCTGACTCAATTCTCTCAGGGGTGCCGTGTCTCCACAAGACCTGTTTTTCTAGGCCTAAGACGGTGTTCTGGGCAGTGGCATGAGGCACAGGGTAGGTTTCCAACCATCCTGTGGTTGCTTCCACATGGTCAGTACATAGCGCTTGCCTTGGCGGGTTTGGGGAAGCGTGATATAGTCAATTTGCCAGGCTTCCCCATACCTGTATTTCAACCATCGCCCACCGTACCACAGAGGCTTCATCCGTTTGGCCTGTTTGATTGCAACGCAGGTCTCGCAGTCGTGCATGACCTGTGAGATGTTGTCCATAGTAAGGTCCACCCCTCGGTCACGGGCCCATCGGTATGTTGCGTCTCTCCCCTGATGACCAGAAGTGTCATGGGCCCAACGAGCTAGGAATAGTTCTCCCTTATGCTGCCAATCTAGGTCTACTTGTGATATTTTCACTTTGGCAGCTCGGTCTACCTGTTCGTTGTTGTGATGCTCCTCAGTAGCCCGACTCTTGGGTATGTGTGCATCCACGTGTCGAATCTTCACGGTCAGCTTCGCTACTCGGGAGGCAATGTCCTGCCAGATCTCGGCGGCCCAGATGGGTTTCCCTCTGCACTGCCAGTTAGCCTTTTTCCAGCGACTTAGCCATCCCCAGAGAGCATTAGCTACCATCCATGAGTCGGTGTAGAGATAGAGCCTCGACCACTTCTCTCGCTCAGCAATATCCAAAGCCAGCTGGACGGCTTTAAGCTCTGCAAGCTGACTTGATCCACCTTGTCCCTCAGTAGCTTGTGCCACTTTTCGTGTGGGGTTCCACACTGCAGCTTTCCATTTCCAGCTAGTGCCTATGATTCGGCAGGAACCATCCGTAAAAAGGTCATATTGTCTTTCAGTTTCTGGTAGCTCATTATATGGTGGGGCCTCCTCAGCACGTGCCACTTGCTCCTCTTCTTCAGAAGACAATCCAAAAGTCTCCCCCTCAGGCCAGTTTGTTATGATTTCCAGAATCCCAGGGCGATTCAGATTTCCAATACGGGCGCACTGAGTGATGAGGGCAATCCATTTACTCCATGTGGCATCAGTGGCATGATGTGTAGAAGGAACCTTTCCTTTAAACATCCACCCCAGCACTGGTAGTCGGGGTGCCAGAAGCAGCTGTGTTTCAGTGCCAATTACTTCTGAGGCAGTATGAACTCCTTCATACGCAGCCAAGATCTCCTTCTCTGTGGGAGTGTAGCTTGCTTCAGAGCCTTTGTAGCTCCAGCTCCAAAATCCCAGTGGTCGACCCCAAGTCTCCCCAGGCACCTTCTGCCAAAGGCTCCAGGACAAACCATGGTTCCCGGCTGCAGAATAGAGTACGTTCTTGATCTCTGGTCCTGTCCTAACTGGGCCAAGGGCTACAGCATGAGCGATCTCCTGCTTGATCTGAGTGAAGGCTTGTTGCTGCTCAGGGCCCCAGTGGAAATCATTCTTTTACGGGTGACCAGGTAGAGAGGGCTCACAATCTGGCTGTACTCGGGAATGTGCATCCTCCAAAAGCCTATGGCACCTAGGAAAGCTTGTGTCTCCTTCTTGTTGGTAGGTGGAGACATAGCGGTGATCTTGTCGATTATTTTTGTCGGGATCTGACGACGTCCATCTTGCCACTTGACTCCTAGAAACTGAATTTCTTGAGCTGGTCCCTTAACCTTGCTTCGTTTAATGGCAAAACCAGCTTTCAGTAAAATCTGGATCATTTTTTTCTCCTTTTTCGAAGACTTCCCCTGCTGTGCTTCCCCACACAATGATGTCATCGATATACTGTAGATGTTCAGGAGCCTCGTTCTTTTCCAGTGCAGCCTGGATCAGTCCATGGCAGATGGTGGGACTGTGTTTCCACCCCTGAGGCAGTCAGTTCCAGGTGTACTGCACTCCCTTCCAGGTGAAGGCAAACTGAGGTCTGCATTCCGCTGCCAAAGGAATGGAGAAGAAGGCATTTGCAATATCAATGGTCGCATACCACTTTGCTGCCTTGGACTCTAGCTCATACTGAAGCTCCAACATGTCTGGCACGGCAGCGCTCAGTGGTGGTGTGACCTCATTCAGGCCGTGGTAGTCCACTGTCAGTCTCCATTCCCCACTGGACTTGCGCACTGGCCATATAGGGCTGTTGAAAGGTGAATGGGCCTTGCTGACCACCCCTTGGCTCTCCAATTTACGAATCATCTCATGGATGGGGATCACAAAGTCTCTGCTGGTACGATATTGCCGACGGTGCACTGTTGTCATGGCAATTGGTACCTGCTGTTCTTCAACTCTCAGCAGTCCCACAGCAGAAGGGTCATCTGAGAGACCAGGCAAGGTATTCAGTTTCCGGATGTCTTCTGTCTCTACAGCAGCTATCCCAAAAGCCCAGCGATGTCCCTTTGGGTCTTTGAAATATCCATTTCTCAGATAGTCTATGCCAAGGATGCATGGGGCCTCTGGGCCAGTCACGATGGGGTGTTTCTGCCACCCGTTCCCAGTTAAACTCACTTCAGCCTCTAATACAGTAAGCTGCTGGGATCCTCCTGTTACCCCAGAAATAGAAATGGATTCTTCTCCTACATATCTTGATGGCATCAGTGTACATTGGGCACCGGTGTCAACCAAAGCTGTATATTTTTGTGGTTCAGATGTGCCAGGCCATCAAATCCACACGGTCCAATAGATCTGATTGTCCCTGTCCTCTACCTGGCTAGAGGCAGGGCCCCTCTATTCCTGGTCATGGTACACGTTGCTCTCTTCTGGTAAATAGGTTCTTGAGGTTCCTTCAAGAGGATCAGTTATATCATTATTCTTATAGTGTCTGGAACTCTGTGTTTGAGAGACTGGAGCAGCATTGACTCTTTTTGTGTTAGGTGTTCTTTTTAGTTCACGTACTCGGGCTGCTAAGGAAGAGGTGGGTTTTCCATCCCACTTCCTCATGTCTTCTCCATGCTCCTGAAGAAAAAACCAGAGGTTTCATCGTGGAATGTATCCTCTCTCCTTGGCTTGGGAGCGCTGGCTCCTAATGGCAGAGATTCTTGTGGGTTCTGGTGAAATATGGTAGCCTTCTTCCTTAAGTTCCTTTTTTAGTTTCTTATGACTCTCTTCAATCAAGTCCCGGACTTGCTCAGCCAACCTTGTTTCCACGGACGAGACATGGGTACGAAATGGGGCGGTGACCGTATCCTCGTAAATTCTTAATTTATTGGCTAAGACGCCCACCCTATCCTCGCCTTCTCTCCACTGCAGTGTTGTCAGGTAACGAGAGTACATCTCTGGTCCAAGCCGTGCAAATCTCAACCACATTTGTGATGTGCACTGGACACAGTCTGGACTCTTAGGAAATCTTTCGTCTTCTGCGAAAATTATCTCCAACACAGCCAATTCCCTCAGGCATTGGATACCTTGTTCCATGGTATTCCATTTTCCTTGGAGCACCTGGAGGTCTTCTTTACAAAGGTATCTGTCCCTCACACTTGCGAGCAGTCACCGCCAGAGGCTGAGAGTTTCTTGGGTTCTCCCAATCCCCTGGTCAATGACCACATCCCGGGATAGTGATCCCAGTTGCCTGGCCTCACTTCCATCCAGAATGGTGTCATTGGCTGCAGCGTCCCAGATGCGGAGAAGCCAGGTGAGGATGGACTCATTTGTCTGGCGGGTGAATTCTCTCCGCAGGTCACGTAGCTCACCCAGGGATAGAGAGCGAGTAATGATCTCTGGTTCTGTCTCTTCTGCTGGGTGCGAGGGCCCTGCAGTGTCCTCGTCAGTCACTAGGCAGACTGATTTGCTCCTTGATTTCTTCTTCTGAACGGGGGCAACTACTATGGGTTTAGGCTGCTCTGGTTTGGTGATGGTTTGTGTGGAGATGCTGATGGCGCTTTCGGTTCCTTTCTCCTCTGTGCCGGTCTGTGTAGACATAGACACTTTTGCTTTGCTTTTTGTTTCTTCCTCCACGACAGTCTGCGTAGACACGGACACTGTTGTTTTCCTTTTGGTTCCTTCTTTCTCTGTGGCAGTCTGCGTTGACATGGATGCTGTTGTGGTATTCTGTATGGGCACGGACACTGCTGCTTTGCTTCTTGTTTCTTCTTCCTCAAGAAGACGCTGCATCACACTATGTATGTTTTGCTGCACCACACTATGTATGTTTTGCTGCACCACACTATGTAGTGTTTTATTTCTAAGCATGTTGCAGACTGTGCAGAGAAGACAAAGAAGAACTAACAACAACATTATGCTGTCCTTGGCATCCAGAGGGAACTTAACATTTTCAAAAACTGCTGTGTCAAGCCTGAAAGGTTGGAAAAAATCAATCTTTACCCCTCCCCCCAGGGGCTGGGTGAGGTTGCCGAGGCCCCAGACGTAGCAGCCTAGATTAGGACAAGCAAACAGAATTGAGTACATATTCCAAATCATGTTCATTGCCTCAGAGGTCATAATGCGATAGACATAGTAGACCAATAAAGCAATTCTCATACCTTACCCTGGTCTACACATGAGCATTACAATTGCCACATAATTCCCCACATTCGGGAAAATATAGAGAGCTAGGTATGAGACCCAAAAAAGCATGTTAAGCATCATAGTGAATAGGTACCCTCTACAATGCAAGATTGTAATTCTGACTTCTCTCAGTACTTTCTTGCCCCACGATGGGCGCCAAAAATATGTTCTGGTTTGAAAGCAAAACCAGTGAGAGGCTCCAAGTCAGAAATACAATTTATTGGGAAAAGGGGAAAAGGACAAAAATACATGCAATAATACAAAGGGAAAGACTACTGACAAAGTCAGAATACAACTTGGCCAGCGTGCTGGTAGCAGTCCAAATTGGAGTAGCTGCAGTCCTCTTGGGATGGCAGATGTAGTTGCTGTGTCTTCTCAGAGAACCTGTGAAAAGGCTGCCCCTCTGTCTAGAAATCCCCAGTTTTATCCAGGTTGGAATGCCTAGCTCCTCCCCCCTGGGCAGAGCATCTCACAATGGGTCATTATGAGTCACGAGGTGTGTCCTTAATCACCTGCTCCTGGACAGTGTTATCTCTGAGTCATGTGGCAAGGCATTGATGGGGCTATTAACAGCAGATAAGGAAAACTGCCCCAAGGCAACTCCTACTCAGATGGTAAATAGGAAAACATTTGGTTTTTTTTAATCTTGGACATTACCGCATATCCAGCGTGTCTGATTCCGTTCTCCATGAAACTGCTTCCATCTGTGAACAACTCCCAGTCTGGCTGTTCTAGGGGGACATCTTTCAGATCTGCTCTAGCTGCACAGGTGTGTTCTAGTACTTCCACCCAATTGTGTTCCAATGGGCTTTCTTCAGATCTTGTACCTAGGAACAAGGCTGGGTTCAAAAGGTTAGTTGTTTTTAATGTTACATCATCTTGCTCCGTTAAGATTACCTGGAATTTCATCATTCGACTCAGGGAGAGCCAATGGCCCCCTTTCTGTTTCAACACAGTAGTTACCATATGTGGTACACAGACATCTATGTGCCTTCCCATGGTGAGCTTCCTGGCTTCTTGTATCAGGATCACAGTGGCTGCGACTGCCGGCAGACATGAAGGCCATCCAGCACTGATGTTGTCAAGTTGTTTGGAAAAGTAGCCCACCGGCCTTTTCCAACTTCCCAAACGTTGGGTTAAGATACCCAATGCCAGACGCATCCTTTCATGTACAGACAGCTGAAAATCTTTGGACAAATCAGGTAACTCCAATGCAGGAGCAGTTGTCAAGGCCTCCTTTAGTTTGAGGAAAGCCTCCTTCTGCGGTTTGCCCCAGGTAAATGGCTGCGTCTTCTGGGCCTCATACAGGGGTTTTGCAATTAGTCCATAGTCCATGATCCACAGGCGGCACCACCCTGTCATCCCAAGGAAGACTCGCAGCTCATGTAGATTCTGGGGCTCTGGAATGGCACAAATAGCTTGAATATGGTTAGTACCCAGTTTTTGCTGCCCTTGTGAAATTTCACATCCCAGGTAAATCACAGTCTGTTGGGCAATTTGTGTTTTTTCTTTAGATAACTTATATCCTGCCATTCCCAATGAATTTAAAATCTCGATTGTTACCTTTATGCAGGTTGCTTTCTCCTCTGTGGCTATCAGTATATCGTTTACATACTGTAGCAGCAGGTATTGTTCTCTCAGTACTTGCCCTCTTGTCGTCCAGGTCTCCAGCTCCTTCGCCAGTTGGTTTCCGAACAGGGTGGGACTGTTCTTGAATCCTTGTGGGAGCCGTGTCCAGGTGAGCTAGGTCTTTCTTCCATTTCCTGGATTTTCCCACTCAAAGGCAAACAGGTTCTTACTTTCTTTGTGAAGGGGTATGCAGAAAAAGGCATCTTTTAGATCAATTACTGTAAACCATTTATATGTCTCTTTCACTGATGTAAACAATGTGTAGGGATTGGCAACCACTGGATAAATGTCCTTAGTTATTTCATTTATTGCTCTCAAATCCTGCACTAGCCTATACTCACCATTGGGTTTCCTCACTGGAAATATAGGTGTATTATATTCTGATTCACATTCTTCTAAAATTTGGTATTTCAAGAATTTATCAATAATTTTTACCATTCCCTGCTGTGCTTCTGGTTTTATAGGATACTGTTTAACCTGTACTGCTTTTGCCCCTTCCTTTAATTCAACATGTATTGGCTGTGCTAATTTAGATTTCCCAGGTATATCTGTTTCCCATACTGAAGGAATTACTGCATCTTCTACTTCCCTAGGAATAGAGGGAGCTGGTTTTTCTTTAATCATTAAAATTTGTCCTGTCTTTGATTCAGGTATTTTCATTAAAAGTTCCCCATTCTCAAAGGTTATCACCGCATCAAGTTTTGCCAATAAATCTCTACCTAAAAGGGGAATTGGACACTCAGGCACATACAGGAATTCATGCGTCAGGACCTTATTTCCAAAACACAGTTCTAAGGGTTGTAGGAATGGCTGATTTTCCTCCTTCCCTGTTGCCCCGACTATTGTTGTTTGTTTGTCCCCAATTTGTCCCTGCAAATCATTCAGTAAAGGATACGTGGCCCCTGTATCCACCAGGAATTTTACTGCTCTATCACCTAGCTTTATTGTCACAAAAGGTTCCTTGCTATTTTCTAGACAGCTGCTGTATTGTCCCACCACCATTAATTTTGCAATATCTTGATCTTGGCTTGGCTGCTTGCCTTGGTAAAACCGGTTTGGACACTCGTTCATCCAGTGACCTTCTTGCAGGCAAAAAGCGCACTGGTTAAATCCTAATTTTGGCACAGCAGTTCCCCCATGTCCTCTGCCAAGTCCACCTCCCCTCCCCTGTCCACAGCCCCCCCTGCCCCTCCCTCTGATGCCTGGGTTTCCTTTCCCTTGTATTACTGCCAAGAGGTTTTGCTGTTGCCTTTTACTTATTTCCTTTTCCCTATTATTATATACTTTCCAAGCTACTTCAAGCAATTTGTCCAGATTTCTTAATTCTTCCCCTTCTTGTTTTTGCAGTTTTCTCCTAATGTCATCCTGTGACTGCCCCTGGAAAATGAGAGCGAGCTGAATCTTTGCTTGTGGTGTATCTGTTTGGAGATCTGTGTATTTTCTTGCTGCCTCCTTAAGCCTTTCCAAAAACACAGTAGGGGATTCTTTCTTCTCCTGCCTTATCTCATACAATTTAGACCAGTTTATAGTCTTAGGTACAGCATTTTGAACGCCCATCTGGACCCACTCCTGATATTTCTTCAGCTTCTGCATATGCCCAGGTGCATTAGGATACCACCCTGTATCCTCGGTTGGAAAATTATCATCTAGGGTTCCCATTACAAGCCTGTTTCTGATATCCTCCCTTGCCCTTTCTTTGGCTGCTTTAAGTACCATCTCTTTCTCTGTAGAATCCATTAGGGTGTCTAATATTACTTGTATATCATCCCAATCTGGATTCTGAGTTTTCATAATCATTTTTACCACTCTTGCCACTTTATCAGCATTTTCCCAAAAAGTTCCAGCTGATTGTTTCCAAATTACTAAATCCGCAGAGGAAAAAGGTACCTTTACAAACACCATCCCCTCCGCTCCTATTCCCTGTCGTAAGGGGGCAATCACAGTCCGCTTCTGTCTACCCAGATCTTTTCTGGCCAAGACCGGGGCGGGCTTTGACCGATTCCGAGTCCTATGAGATACCGGTATTGCAGATTCACTTTCATCTCCACTATCGCTATCTCCTTTACTTCCATCCTCCCCCCTTCTATGTACCACAGTTAAATTTAGATCATCTCCAGGGGAAGAGGGGTCTGGTGATGGTGGAAGAGGAGGATAGGGAGAGAGGGTTTGAGTGGGTGAAATAGGACTAGGCAAAATAGGATCGGCTGAAGCAGGTGATGAAGTAGGGGTAGGGGCAGGCAGGATAGGGTTAGGTTCTCTTGGTCTTGTGGGGGCTACCTGTAAATCAACATCTGTATCACTCCTCCAACTCAGACTTTCTTTCAATGCAAAATGTTCTAAACAACGTTTCTCCTTCACACAAACCTCACACTTATCACTTGTAGATGCCTTAACTACCATCAATCCACATTCAACCTGCCATTCTGGCTTATCTTGCAAGTAGAAAAACAAATCAATATACGGAACCTCATCCCATTTTCCTTCGCATATACAAAACAACATCAATTGCAAAATAGTGTTATGTTGCAATGTTCCATTCGGTGGCCATTTTTCACCACCTTGCAAGACATATTCTGGCCACCATGTATTACAGTAATCAATTAACTTACCCCTATGTAAGTCTTGCCCAAAATTACCTTGTTTCCAATGTGCTAATAAGCACCCCTAAAGGAGAAGAACGTGGTATGGGGGCATTGCTGCCCAAGAGACCTTTAAGCTTCTCCATATTACAGCTACAAGACACCACAGAATTCCGAACCCGCAACGCTTTCACGATGTCTAACGGACGGGTGCCTAGGCAATACCACAGGAATTCTTTAACCCAACCGAGCGTAGCTTTCGCCGTGTCTTATCGGCAGGTTCCACACCAAATTAAAAGCACCTTACCTCTCTCCAGGGGACGTTGTGAGTGGCGGAGGGTCACGGCGCCGATGGGCTCCCTGAGAATCCCTCGGTGCCGGCTGGAGCGTGATCGGGTCGTGGGGTCCTCAGCAGCGCTCGCAGGGTCCCAATCTGTGTTCGGCAAAATGTTAGCGTTCAGAAACACACATAATCACGGGATATGATTATATGCAGGTGCTTTTATTAAGAGCTCTGGGAGTCGGGGTACAAACCCAAATCTGACTCCAACATGGATTTCGAGCTGAACGTATTTTATATTCTATCATTATATAACTTACACTTTAATTATTAAACTTATATTGTTCTATTGTATACACTGACATGAGTTTTTCGTGATCTTTCTTAGGTCCATGACCACCGTTTCTCATGAGTATTCTTTCTGATTAAACAGTAATTATATTCAATTACTAAACAATCGTCACATCTAACAGTTATATCATTTATCATGTACTAGCTACATAGTGCAGTTCTAGCAAGTACTAGTTCTTCATGTGCTTAAGGTATTTATTTTTCCAGGGCCTACTAAGCTTATTTTCCTGTTAACCCTAAATCCCCATGATTTTAAAACCCTTTTACTATCAGAGTCAGACATCATCATTTCTTTCCGCTGGGTTCATCTGCATTTACAATAGTTTGTTATGAATATTTTGATCAAATAATCAATTAAATAATACAACAGGGTTAGCTATGATTAAAAGTAGAAAATTGTTAAGTATAAGGTGTAGAAATATCAGCAGTGCTGTGTCTGGAATGTGTAAGCATAGAAATCTCACCAAGAAGTTACTGGGTGTCCTGGGCTGACTGTATGATGCCTTTATCCCCAATCGTCTGCCCTGTTTATGTTGAATAATAAGTTCTACACCTTTAAGACTTGTTCCAAGAGTGAAAGGGCGGGGGGAAGAAGCGCAGAGTTTGTTTTCAAGAACTGCACTCCCTCCTCCATGTTCCTGCTCCTGGACTGTGTCGTCTGCGGATGGACAGACAGCAAGACAGACGTCTCCTTTGCTTTTTTCTAGTTAGTTTTAGCTAGCTGAGGCAAAGAAGTTCCCTGGACTGTGGTTTTTCCCCTTTCTTTGGACCTGCTCTGGACTGAACACCAGAAGAGCAGCAGCAGCTTGCATCTGTGGCCCAGCGGGCCAGGCCTGGGCCGTGGCATTTCCAGCACCGGAGGGACTGATCACAGACTGAGTGAGCCGAGCTGCAGCCCGGGGGGATTTTTCTGAGTTTGTCTCTCTCCGAGTGGCAAGAAGTTTTATTGTTTAATATTGTTTTAAGTTTGCCTGTTTAATAAACAGGTTTTTTCCACTTTTCTCCAAAGAGGTATCTTTCCCAAACTGGTTGGGGGGAGGGGCCAATTGAATCTGCTTTCCTAAAGGAACCCTTTTGGGGGTTCTTTCCCCAAATTTACCCTGAACCAGGACACTGGGCTTTTATGTTTTGGTCAAGAAACTATGGAAAACATCATGCTCAGCTGTTATGCTGCTTGTATACCCACTACCCTTCCCATCTTGATTTTAATATCAAGGATTCCAATCAGTAGACCTCAGTAAAAATAGCCAGTTATTGTTCTTAGGATACGAATATTGATGAAGTTATATAACTATTGAAAGCAATCAAAATAAAGGTTAAATTTAAGAGCAGGCATAGTGTGCATAGTATGTAAAAGAAATTATGTAATGATGATTTAGCAGAAAAAGTATATAAAAGGGATGGGTTTTGTTTGTTAAGCAGGACACATTTTGGAGGAAGCAATTCCCCCATGCCCCCTGCACCCTCAATAAAGAAGTGTCTATTTGCATCAAATTGCTGTTGGATAAGTTTCTTTCATACCATTTGGCGAGTGATGTTCAGATACTTCCCAGGAAGCACGGCTTCACCATGCATAGCAGTTGCTCCAGGAAGGAAAACATTGTAAAACAAATGCCCCCATTCTTCTTCCCTTGCTTTGCTTTTATATCTGAGCTGACATCATATCGTATGGAACACCCCTTTGGTTAATTTGAGTCAGCTGGCCTGGTTGTGTCCCCTGCCAGGATCTTGCCCACTCCCAGAACCTTGATGGGGGGGGGGGGGGGGAGGGGAAGGGGAGAGGAATGTCAGAGAGAGCTCTGATGCTGTGCTAATGCTGCTCAGCAGTAGCCAAAACACTGGTGTGTTAACACCTTTCTAGCTACCAATGCAAAGCACAGCACTGTGAGGGTGCTATGAGATAATGAACTCCAGCTCAGCCAGACCCAATACAGATAGTTAAGCAAGGACATGAAGCAAGCACATGTCTTGACCCTACCTCCTCTTCAAATTTCTATCAGCTGAGACACTGCTGGAAGCAGGAGTGGTAGCTAAATTTGTTATTTTCTATATATTTTCTATCTTTCCCTTTCTTCTTCTTGTTCTAATTCCCACTTCTCACAGTTTTGAGTAACTCAAAATTGGATGGACTTGGAGTTTGCTAAGTTGAATGGGCTAAGTTAATGCTTTGTGAAATGTTTTATGTTAATGGGATGTTGCTTTAAACTTCTGTCAAAGTTCTCTGATTTTCTGAAGTTCTTAGTAAAGTGTTTGTTATTTTGACCACTTGAGAACATCTTGTTGGTATTTCTGCTGTGTTTAACTCAGGGTAAATAAAAAAGTAAAGTCTTTTAAGTGTCTCATCGAGTGGGTTTTGGGGCCTTGCATTTTATTGGCACAGCAAGCAGGGTAATCTTGAGGTGACGAGGAGGTGTTTTATACAGAGAAAACTGCTAGTGGCAGAATAAAGGAGAAACTGAATTTTGGTCAAAAACAATATTTTCTGGAAGAAAGGTCATAGAAACCAGTGTGATCAAAACTGCGGGAAAAACAAAAACTCTCCAACAACATTTTTAGTGTTAGAGAATCAAGGCATTACTTTATTCTGGTCACAATGTTGTTCTGACCAGGATGTGCAACAGAAATAATTTAATCCACACATTGGCCAGGTTGTGCAGAGAAAATCTTTCCATCACATATGAATTTTACTAGATTTTTCACATACTTTATACAGTCAAAACCCATAGAAATTAATTCATTCAATGTTCATTGGTCCCAAGTTGCACAGTTCTTAGTATTTAGTTTCCTATTGGTTACAGATTTCTTCACCTCCAATGCTAATTTGGTCCTCATTCCTTGGTTGTCTTATCAGTCTTTTCCAGACCAGTGTCTCAGACCATGCCAGGGATGATGTTCAGAGTTGCTGGTCGTTAATGGTTGTTATCTTTTGTGTCTCTTCTGTGCTACTCCCAGTGTGTTGAGATGTTAAGCTCATCATGCCCTGAGTAATTAAACAGTACCCTGAAAAGAAACTTGAAATTCCTTTCCCCCAGAAAAAGGTAAACAAAACCCCTGACTAAAGTTATATAAAAAATGTTAAACTTGGTATCTTTTCCAGCACCAGGGTAAAAATTGATCTGGACTTCCCTCCACTGATAGAGCTGCTAAAAGCTTATAAAGCTTGTCTAGCCCTAAACAGAGAGATGTGGGCTGAGGAAATCTGGCACAATCTTCAGTTAGTTGCAGAGAAAATCAGATCTTTGAGTTAAGAAATTGAAAAAAATCTCTAATAAGGAAAATTGTTTGGCAACCATATCGGTGGAAGCTGGGCTCATAGCTGCACAAAGAGAGAAATATGTGTTCCTTTTCCAGGATCTTGCCCACTCCCAGACCCTTGATGGGGGAGGGGAATGTTAAAGAGACAGCACTGCTCAGCAGTAGTCAAAACACTGGTGGGTTAGAACACCTTTCTAGCTACCAATGCAAAGCACAGCACTGTGAGGGTGCTATGAGAAAATTAACTCCAGCTCAGTCAGACCCAATACAATCTCCACTCCTTATTCCATACCATTTCCATCATGCTCATATCTGAAATAGAGTGAAAATTCAATGTTGGTGAGCGTGTCGCGGGAAACAAGCTTCATGCTATCATGATCAACAAGTCTCAGTTTATTGGAGTCGATTACAGTTTCTTTATACAAGCACTAATTAGTTCATACATATTGCAAAAGCAAAGCTCAGGATTGGTTACCTTTCTATTAACACATATATCTCTTTGCGATAAGCCTTGCAGTTACTGTTTCTTTATACTTGATTATTTTTCTGCATACTAAGCAATATTTCATCTTTACCGAGACACCTGTATGCTCAAGGTTGTAAGGAGATATCTGTTTCTCAAGGTTGTTAGGAGACATCTGTTTCTCAAGGGCATAGTTTTCATGCTACAAGTTACATATTTTCACACTTTCATCAACTTAACTCTTTTGTGTCCCTTGCTGCGCAGCCATTCTTCAGCTAAACTCTCGACATTTCCCCTGTTTTCTGTATAAGCAAGCAAGGATGTGTTCCATTTTTGTTCTATAATTGACATTAAAGTTCTTTGCAAGCACTGAAATACACACGGCAATACAAGCATTAAAATTACTATAACTAACAATCTTATTATTATAAGCTGCAAAAGGTGTTTAAGCTAACTCGTAATTTCCCATGATTTAAATGATAATTTAAAAAATGTATTATCCCTCTGTAATACCTGAACATGTTGTTGCAAACGCTGAATTTTCTTATGAATAGATTCGGAACTATTTTTCAAATTCATACAGCACATTCCTTTAAATTTTTCGCACTCATGTCTTTGTGCTATTTGAATTCATTTGAGCTCGGGTCTATGTTTTGAACTTTGCCATGGGACCTAACGAGACTCCCTCTTTTTCTTTTGCCATTGAAAGACAATGGCAAAATGAATGGAAAAATCACAGGCATTATTAAAACTTACTAAAACTTAGCAAAAAATTCTATAACATCATTAAAAACACACTTATAAAATAAAAAAAAAAAACTCAAAGCCCATGATCTTCTGTGGGTGAAACTCAAATTTTTGCACAATCCACTTTTGCTGTGCATCTTCTGATTCACTTGTGGAGAGATCAGTGCCCTCTTGCAATTGATAAGTTCCACATTCTTCACTGAAATCCATCTAGATTCTGCACCTGTTAAAACACAAACAAACCTAACACCCCCCACAGGGACTGGAGGGTCCTCTCTCAATTCTGTTCCCTAAAACTTGCATGAAGAAATGGAGATAATCAACATCTTTGTTATAA